CTGATCCCTGGGGAACACCACTAGTTTCTGCACACATAAGCCTCTCATAACTTTCCTTTTGTCTTTTCTCCCCCTCCACAGAGTGATATAGGAAGTTCAACCTAAAAATGCTTTTTTAAGGCAACACATGTATGTTAATAAAGCTACCCGCATGAATTTCAAAACTGTTCAGTAGCTTGCTTGTAGGTGCTTAACTGTGCTTGCTAGCATCAGGCATCCTCTTGGTATATTGATGCTTACTCAGTGTTGCTGATATTAGTAGTGATTTCTTTCACCTACTGAATGTTGATCCTGAGAGTTTTAATTAAATCTGCCTTTTCTCAGACAAGCTGCTGAAGTCACATGATGGGACAAATTCTCCCTTTGGAGACATTTGCATACTGCCAGTGAATCCATCTGAGAGATTATGCATGTGGGTCCAGTAAGAGAAGGGAGTCAGTCTGGTCTATTACAAAACCAATTCATATTCAGTTGCAAAAGGAAGAAATGTGGAAATGCAGAAGAAAAACTTCTCTTTGAATGAGGAGAGGAAAGCTGACACCCTTTAGAAAAAAAGGAAAATAGAATGGTTAAAAGTTTATTGTTTGCTGATACTGAAAACTTTCAGGGAGGCTTAATGCCAAACTTTTTATTTTTTCCCTCTGACAGGCACAAGCATATTTACTGTTTATGAAGCTGCTTCTCAGGAAGGCTGGGTGTTCCTCATGTACCGAGCAATCGACAGCTTTCCCCGATGGCGTTCATATTTCTATTTCATCACCTTAATTTTCTTTCTGGCCTGGCTTGTCAAGGTACTTAAAAATATGTCTTTTTAAAACAGTTTGAAATGTAGATCATATTAGAATTAATTTCTTCTCTTTTCTGCTTGCTGAGCTTTATGTCAGCCATTCTTTCTTGTTCTGTTTTTCAGAATGTTTTCATTGCAGTCATCATTGAAACGTTTGCAGAAATTAGAGTGCAGTTCCAGCAGATGTGGGGGTCCAGGAGCAGTACTACTTCAACTGCTACAACCCAGGTGAAGCACTTGAGATGCTGAGATTCTCTGGGGATTTGATTTGGTTTAGTTTATGAATTAATAATAAGCAGAAAATTACTGTTACATATGACATATTTGACTTTGCATGTTACTACCTAAAGTTAATATATGAACTTTCATATAAAATTTAATTCTATTATCCATATCCATGTAAATTGCATTATCCAACTAGTCTTTTTTAAAAAAGAATTATAGAGAAGACTGTAATGTGGTTCCCTACATGGCTAGGTATGCAATAGCTGTGTTTGTATTTTCTTTTAATAGAGTAGGATAATGGTTTTTTATCATCATTGGTGGGTTTGAAATTCGGTTGCTGTTGCATATCACTTTCTAAGGAATAAGATCTGAAATTGCAAAGTCGTAGCTGGAAGAAGAGAGGTCAGAGGGTAGCTGAAGCGTTTGCAGAAGTTGGTCCTGGAACTGAGAAGAGTGTGTTGAGACCAAGGAGGAAATGAGGTGTTGGGACAATGAAAGAGCCATGCTAATAGTTGGGGAAGTCACAGAAAGTGAGACCCTGTATAGAGATAATGAGTAAGAAGAAGCCATGATAGGAAGGGTGCTACATGTGGGCTGCATAGTGGGAAAGACCCAGTATGAAAAATGAGAGCTAATGGGCTGAGATTTAAATTCTCTCACTCATTATTTTAACAGTCAGATTATGTGTTTTGGATGTACAAAAGACAAGGCTTTTCCAGGCTAGTGCAGCTTGCCATCTCTAAGAGGAACCAGTGCAAAAAAGCTGCCTGCAAAAAGCTCTTAGGAGGACAGATGTGAGAAACATGCCCATGAGGGAATTTTTTCTAACTGTGTAGGTAGAGATTATTTATTTTCCTAAACCAGAGGATTTAAATTTTCAAAATTATTTATTAAATATTTTCTGATATTCCTTTGGTTATATCAGTAATCCATATGTAAATCTAGTTCTTTTCTGCCTGCTGCTACATTTTTTGCCTCAAATAGACTTCATGGCAATAATTTCTAATCTATATATGTCTTTGTCAAAGCAGACTTTGTGATATCAATTTAAAATCTGAAAAAAGGACTTTTCTACAGGACACCTGCTTAGACTGGGGAACTTTGTTCATTTCCTCTCTGATAGGACAAATTCCTGACCCATATAGGCTTAACCAACATACTCTGAACTAGAAGCTGGAACTGAGAGATCAATGTAGGGAAACACAAGTAGCAGCTAACATTAAGGAATTTCAAATACCCTGCTGCAGACAGGGAAATGGTTGCTTTGTTCCTTGAATCACTGATGTAATGGCACATAAAGGGAGCCCAGCTCACCAAATTGCAAAAACAATTTATCTTTTTCTGTTTTAAGAATGGCAGAAAATTTCTTGCAGGATTTCTTATTCAAAACACCAGAAGAAAGTTAAAACCCTTGCTTGTTTTGTACATGAAATAACGTTGAGAAAATGCAACAATATCTTACTTCATTTGCCCACTTCATAAATAATTGAGCTGTTCCCCAAACTTATTCCTGTAGGAAAGAAAATGAGTGTCCAGGAGTCAAAGTCTAGGAAGGGGTCTCGGGAAAAGATAAAAGGACGTTCTTGTAAAGCACTGCACATTAAAGCATGGTACAAAGAGGAGTAACTAGGAGCTGATCTTAACTGGCAACTCTTCCTATTGCAGAGACGCTAAATAAGGACTCAGAAGCATTACAACCATATTTTTGTGACACTGTCCCCACTCTAATGAGCACTTCTTTCAGGATGACTTTTAAGTTTCAACCATGTTCCTGTGACTGTGTTCTTGAAGTGACTTGTTTGAGTGTTGAGTGTCAAGGAAAAGGTGGGAGTGAGATGAGGACTTTGCCACACTTTATTATATAGTATAAGCAGGTGGCAATTAAAAATGCTAGAGCCATTCATTTTCTTTCAAGGACATTTTAAAGGACAGTGTTAATCACTTTCAGACATGGTTCTGACTGTTCCTTATGTCCAGCAATTTGCATCTTTTTGTGTCCTAGTTTCTGAGAAAAAAAAAAAGTCAGAATACCTACACCTATGCTTCCAGAGGTTATTGGTAAAATGTGAATACCGCTGTGGTCAAGAGGGCCTTTTCCATTGACATCATTAGAACCTGGAAATATTCAGCTACTTACAGGAATTATAAGCTCTGGGAAACAATACAGAAGGACTGTACAGCTACTCTTGATATGCATCAGTGCAACAAAAGTGGTCCTTGGAGTAAAATAATTTTTCCAGTAAAAAAGACAAGGTTGGCTGCTGTTGCCAAATACACCATGAAACTTATTTGTGTGGTCACAATGTGTTTGTGTTTCCTCAGGGATAAGCTTACCATTGTAAGGAATTTATTCTGAACAGGTACCACTATCTAATGATACTGATCAGAGATTAATTGAATCAGTTTCTACATTAGGACTAATAGGGACACATTGTGTTTGATGTTATCTCAGTAAAATTCAGACTCTATTAATGTTGGAAAAAGCATGTTACTTTTTTTTCTGTAGCAGTGAGAACCATTTCTCTCTTATTTTAAACTAGCTATCATCAAAACATATGGTTATCCTTAAGGTGAATGTATTAGATTTCACATGTATTTATTGGCACGTAAAACATTTCTGACAACAGTCTTCCCTTTCAAGATGTTTCATGAAGATGCTGCTGGAGGTTGGCAGCTTGTGGCTGTTGATGTGAATAAACCACAAGGCAGAGCTCCTGCATGTCTACAGGTATGACATTGCTTTTTAATAAATCAATATGTGTAACCAGCACCACTCAAATGTTGCCATACAGAGACTGCAGTGAGAAATAGCAACAGTAGTTTTAGTCATATTTTTTTTTAATTCATTGCTTTCTGCAGTGTAGACTCATTCTTGAAAATCACAGATCAACAAAAAGAGATCTACCACACCCAAAGGGAGAAGATTAGAAAAATCCATTCTTTACAAAGGGTCTGTTTTGTGTGCTCATGAGAGAGATTTAAGATTTTCAAATATAAAATAAAATAATTAATCACCTTTTATATCTCAGAATTTATATACAAATGGTTTCCATTCCTAGGGTATTCACAACAGAAATGCTTGTTTATTAAATGCAAAATGCAATGACACATGCCAAGAAGCATGACTAATCATAATAAACACAGAAGTACCTAATTTCTCTTGTTTAATTGTGAAAATAGGCTTACAGAATAAGGGGGAAGATGTATGTAGGTATTAAACCATACAGTGTCTGAAACTTCCAGATTTAATATTCTTACTTGGATATAAGTGAGTTTGTAAAACTCTATCCTCATTGTTTAAATAAATCAAGACTAAGTAATTTTTTTATAAATCCATTTTTAGTACAGAACACTGTACAGCAGCTCAAATTTTTATTTGCAAGTTAAATAATATCATTTCAGGATAAGCAAACTAGCTTCAGAGTAGAAAGCCAAATCTACTACAGCAATCTGATAGCATGGTATTTTCTGGCAGATTTGGTTATGTTTGGTTTAATGTGTCAACTAAAATATACACACTTGTTGGCAGCATGTACATTGCTGAACTCTAAGCTGGCAAGGCACTTCAGTCCTCTGTAAAAGCTGTTCGTTCTCAAATATCTTTGCTTGGCCAAACCACTGCCATATATTTGATTACAGCATATGTCTTAATGGATAATTCCTCTTCCCAAATTTCATTCTTGATTTTGACAGCAACAGGAACATCATTTGTGGTGTTTTCAAGTAACAGTTTTATGTATGTGGATAAAATGTAGCTGAACTCACAGTGAAAAAAAATCCGTATGAAAGTTTAGATGCCATCTGAGTTACCTGGACTGCCTTTGTCCATAGTATTTCATTTTTGCTGCTTTTAGGAATCATGTGAACACACAGTAAATTGTGTTGCAATGGACATAAGCATCATGCATCAGTGGGTATTTCAACTTTTTATAATTGCAACTCAGCTAGCAGTTTTCTTCTCATTCTTCATTTCCTTGTGATGTAGAGGAGGCTCTAAAACAGTGCTTTAGTGCTTGTTCTGACATTAGACTATATGAAGTCCATTAGGAGTCCGTTAGTCCAATAGTCCATAAACTATATGAAACCCATGTCCTAATTTCCATTAGGAAATTTATACTTCATGGCATTACTCTCTATTGACAAATAAGCTATATTGATGTTTGTCTTGTCATCATGGAGGCAATAAAGGGGATTGCTGTTCATGTTTACACACTCTAACTTTTAGATACTAGAAATATGAGCATTAAGACTTGATTTGTATAATTTGGAACTTCTATGCGTTAGATACTTCTGCATTCATAAATGTAAATATTCTGTGTGCTGTAGGACTTTTTGTGTTTTTTTAACTGCTAGTCTACACATATTAGGTTGGTCTAATGATTTTAAAATGTTCTGAGAAATGGATGTTTTTTTATTCTGCATCAGATCATAATGAGAGAATTGCAGAAAGTAGATAGTCTTTTCCTTCCTCATTGCTATACTTCCCCCTTACTACCTGTCTGAACTGGCACAATGTTTATTCAGTTGTTCAGGGCATGGAATCAAGGTTGGCAGGGGGAAAGGATTTGTTATTGATCAGACTCACTCCAGCTGCATAAATGTTTTTCCTGACACAAGAAAGGGGCCAGAACTTTAGTGGGAGCAGTCTGGGAGTGTGAGGTGGTTTGTCTGCTGGCCTGTGCAGGCAGCTCCAAGTACCCAGCCCTGGTGGCTTGCAATCATCCAGGTTCCTCTGTGCAGCTCTCAGGTTTATTCATAGGTACTCTTTATATATGTATATTTATATATGCCTGCATATCACATACACACATTTAAAGATGTATAAATAAAAGGAAACAAGGACAGCAATGATCCACCCAAAAAGGTTACAAAAAACCCCAAACCAAACCAAACACAAACAAATTTGAAAGACCCAGACAATGGGTTCATGAATTGGAACCTTTATTTTGAAGAATTCTATGTATTCAGGTGGGTGATGAAAAGGTTACTCTGTTCACAGCTGTGGGGATTCTTTAGTTACCAGTGTGGCTGTGAAGGGGTACAGAAATGGAGCATAGTTGAGAGGTTACTGTCATCCATGGCTGTGTGGAGCTTCCAACTACCTGTAGGATAAATGGTGCAGCGGTGTGGAGGTCGTAGGTGGTGTGGAGGTGCGATTCTCCATGGCCATGAGTAGAGTGGGTTCCAGCTGCTTGTAGGAACACAATGGGGTACAGAGTTGGTGGATGGTAGTGTACAGATATGGTTGGTGTAACGGTGGTGCCTTTGCCCATGACTGTGATGGGCTTCCATCTGCCTGTAGAGAAGTAATGGGGGGGGACATGAAGAGGGGTGTGGACATCCCTTTGTGCTGAGCTTCCATCTGCCTATATAGGCCCATGATGGAGTATGGAGAAGGTGCAGGAGGCAGACATACTTTTGTCTCTGAATGTGGGTAACTTCCATTTGCCTGTAGAGCCTTAATGGGGTGTGGAGATAAAGGGTAGTGCAGAAATAAGAGGTGAGAAACAATAAGCAAAGCAGTCACTTTCCATCACCTCAGGCCTCTCCTGCCCCCCCAACCTGGGGCTCTCCCAGCCTTCTTCCAGGGTTTTCCATCCCATATCTCTGTGACAGCCAGAAGACATGACTCCTAGGCCAACCCTCCCACCTACCCCGCAGTGACATGGGCCACCATCAGTGTTTTAGCCACTGCATCACTATTAAGTGTTCCAGGAGCTCATGTAGGGCCCAGTCCACATCTCTGCAGGCTGAAAGGATGCAGATGTCCTTTTGCCCATGGCTGTGAGGAGCTTCCATGTCTGCTGTGACATCACCAGAGCTGCTGCATCCCTGTGACAGTGGACCATTCAAGCAAGAAGAAACAAATATTAATAACAACTGATAATGCTGTGGAGAGAAACTAAATGCCTGTAGCAACAATTTAAAGAACAACAGCTCAGCAAATATTTAAACAGAAGCAACAGGCCCTACCTACTACCTGGTTTTAAAGACTTGTGCTGCTAGAGTTGTCAGTTTGAAGGCTAAATTCTGCTGGAAAAATGTTTGTCAAGTTGACTGGAGGTAGTATTTCACACATTTGAGATTAAAGACTTGACCCTGCATCTACAAGTTGATGATGGCACTAAGAACATCTGTGCATTTCCTGCAGTTCATGCTGTGATTCTCCCCTGACATGAACCAGAGACTTTGCCAGGGACTGTTCTGTGCTACGCTCTTCAGTTAGACACTGGAATATATAAACTAACTTCCAGCTCCTTGGTTCATTGCAAAAGTGTTAATATCCTCTTTAACTGCTGGGACCGGAAGCAATGGGCTAGTGGGGTAGTGATTTTGGGTGCATCAAGACTTGAACCCTGTGTACATGGGTTGTGTGATGCATGGGGGAGATATAGGACTGTTGGGGACAGTATTGGACGACTGGTTTTGGTGCATGGAGCAAAACTGTTCCACACTTCACTTCAGACAGAGTGGGTGTAGACTGTACCTAGTATGTTCTTTCAACATGCCTTCTTCCATTCATGTGGGCTCCTGACCAGAAGAAGCCAACATTTAGAGAGGTGTTGTGGCTTACTGAGGGACTAGTATTTGGGAAAAAAAACAGAACCGGACAAACTCCCAATGTAAATATATCTCCAGTGTGTTGACAAAGGACATTATGTAGGGAGCCTTCTACCTCTGAAGTACAATACCTACAGCTATATGTAGAGGCTGTGGCTGACTGCCATCACCATTTCCTCTCCCACTTCAGTAACTGGCCTGAGTAACTGCTTGCCTGCAGTTATACAACTGATTTTCACTTAAAAATGTTGGTGCAATTACTGACTAGAAAACAAGCATTTCTTGCTTAATGAGAGGAAATGAGAATGTACAATTTCTAAGAGAAATTGTAAATGAGAACTTGCAAATGCCACTGCTGGTCTTGAGTTGTGTATATAAGGTGATTAGCTATGCCATGGACAATGCTCTGTTTCTCTTTGTTAGGAGTTCCTACAAATAGACACTTCAGTGTCTTAGGGACTGACCCTGATTTTATTTGGGAAGAAAACAATTGCTGATTAAAAGCTGAATTCTAAAAAAATTTGAGACCTCTTCTTATCTTCCAGGCAACATATGAAAAGACTATCTGCAATACAAAAGAGATGGCTATGAGAGTTGTAAACTGCCACTTATTTTGACAGGATATTAGCTTTGAAATCTAACTCTGGCAGTAAGTACACATTATTAACGTGTTTGGGTGAGTGCAAGAACTCAGATAATGCTGATGTCCTTTAATTCTCCAGTTTTTTTAGAATATGTATCCTGATGAGCTACAAAAAAAGTGTAATGCTGTCACAGTAGGCACCTGTGCAATCCATGGAAAACTGAAGATGAACAAGCATAACACTGAATTCAGCAGAGAATGTATTTTTTTTTGTTGTTTAATAAAGCCTCAAGCCTTTCCTAAACGCGTTGATGTTGCAAAGTCTCAATGGCTGCATTGGACTGCTGGAGGATATGGCCTCAGAGTTCTGCCCTACATCTGATTCTGACAGTAAATGTTTTTGAGTAGTTGTTTAAAGTGTGTGTTGCGTCCCCAGCAGGCTCATCCTCTTCCCTCTTAAAAGCCTTTGCAACCAATTCAAAATTTAGCTCCACAGGACCACTAATACAAGTTATGTGATGTTCCTGACTGAGAGCTAAAGTCACAGACTACACAGGTAACTTGCAAAACACATTTTTTATAGG